CGAGGAACTTTGGTATATATTGACCTTTATTGCTTGTGGTTAAATTTATTCTTAATTTATTAGAAAGTAAGACTTTAATTAATTAGTATAACTGACTAATTTTTAATTATAAATATGAAGGTTAAGATGTCGTAGCCTCTATTTTGGTAAAAGTCTCATTTTGATGTATAGAAATGGTTTGAACATGTCTTCGCGACTTATTCGTATTTTTAGGAGGACCTAGTTGGACATATCCTGTCTGAAGTCCTTTGCTATAGTAGTTATAATAACTCCCAGAGTTGGACCGTGGACATCTGTACATTCCTAGACATTTCGTCAGCATCGTCATTTAGCCTTTTAATTCTTAGAACCAAGCTAAAACTCGTCAAAGAGATAAGTGTGGTCAATCCCTTGACCAACTTTATTCAGAATTGTTATACTATCACTCCCTTTTCTCTTTTATCACATCTACCCACTCGCTACCTTCTTATCTCACTCCATCCTTTTCACAACTTGTGACTTTATATATTCGATTCCTTTCGAGAGGTGCCCTTCTTTAGCTAGCTTAGTGCTTAATTCTTGTGTGTTCGAGCAGACTACACTCACAAAGCGTCTCCCTTGCTTTCCTAATGTTACTCACCCTAGTCTTTTTCTCTGGTTAACGTTAGGTCCTTGATACAAGCATCTCATTTTTGCTGATCTTTTATCCTTTTTTCTCAAAATTTGCTTAATCGGTTGAGTTATCGCTAACTCTGACTTCTAACTTCCTGTTCATTACATTTCTTTTAATAAGGATATCATGGCCTACCTATCCTTCTATTTTATATGTTTTAACCATATCTGACCCTTCTTTCTGTTGCTTTCCAGTTGATCTCATGTCCAGTCTATGGAATGTGTTCTGCTATTTCTGATCTTTTGGTATCCATTTTCCTACAAATTCGTTCAACTAGGTCGCCTTGATAACACTAATAAGCTGCGAGAACAAAGTCAGACTTACTACTTTTAATATTTTGCCTTTCTATACTCATTATTTTGCTCACGTCTCAATTTATACATAAATGAACTTTTTGGATGGCCTCATTGCCGAGTTATTTCACCACCATTTTCTAGATTGATCCACTAGGAATTATTTAAGGATTAAGGGTGAATGTGTTTGATTGATAAGATCTAAAAAAAGTGACATATTTGACAAAACCTATCTACTGCAGGATTTCATGCACAAGCCAGGGCATTAAAGTATTTGCTGCTATGAACTAGTATTATTGATTTCAGACAAAAGCTCAAAATAGCAGTTTGAAATAATAAAGATACTATTTAGAGCTATCTTATTATCAATACTCCACTAAATATCTCTTTTAATACGAAATTTATTTGATTGACTCTTCTGTCTACGTGCAATTAATGCATACTTGATCTTTTTATTCGTATTTTTTTCCTTTTTTGATTGTAGGAGCACTTTTGCTTGTAGATCCAGAGGAAGAATTCTTTCCAGAGGAAATAGAAAAGCTCACTCGTGATGTATTGCATAACGGCCTTTCATTGCTGGTGTTTGCTGATTGGTATAACGTCAGTGTAATGGAAGCGATTCACTTTTTTGACTCAAATTCACGGTAAGAATATATTTCTATTTGAAAAGTGAAACGTTTTATCTCTCTGGAATTCAAATTTTAAAAAAGATACATAAACGAAATCGGATTCATTAAACTTGATCTTACAATACATATACTTCTTCAGGCAATTCTGATATCGGGCTTTACTCGCTTCATACTATTTTCCCTCTAATATTGATCGCTTCTCTCCGTTCATAGTTGTCAAAATTTTAAATAAGTACTTTTATAGCATCTCGTCAGATAATCACT